ACTCCATGGCATTCTTGAAGAAGAAGATGATGAAATAAACTTACCCTACCAACTGTCAAAATATATATGAAGCTTTAGTAAATATAACATTGTGATCTTGGCACAGAGTTAGAAAAACTAGGCTAATGGGACAAATTAAACATCCCTAACTTGGGTCCATTCACACATATACAGGATTTACAACATGAGTATCATTCAGAAAAGCAGGGAAAGGGCAGCCTTTGCAGTTAATCGTGCTAGAACAATTGGGTTTCCATATGGTAAAATATTAAATGAGACCCATATTTCATAGCATATGTGGAAATAAGTTTCAGGTTGATTATGGACCTCAATGTGAAAGGCAAAACCATCAGGCTTTTCAAGATTTGCTCAGGAATATTGGCTGCCCGGGACTCTGCAGCAACTGTAAACTGGCTGACCTGGCTTCCTTACCAGATCTTGTTCCTGTAGCTCCAGGTGGGACTGACAAACCAGGACACAGCCACGGTTGAGAAGTCAGCTTCATAGTTTTCTTTGTTGCTGCCTCGGCTGCTAGCAAGAAATCTACTCCCTGGCCTATAGGGAAAGCTCTTCCTGCAGGATGGAGAGGTAGCCTCCATAGCCCTTCACCTAGGAGCCCTCAGCAGGGTAGTGAGAAGCCCTTCCTTTTTCTACCAGCTACGTCTTCACATAAACCACCCCTGTTTGAAATCCATCAAGTCTTTTGAAGTCCAACAGAACGTCTATAGCACTTTCAAGAATAAAAGGACTCATAATATTAAAGTTAACTTAAAGAGATAGAAGAACTCTGAATTTGAAGGTGGAAAATAAGTGGTTGGTTGTAGCACTACCCTGAGTACAGAAAGATTTTTCATTCTTTTTTCCTCTCAGACTCTTCACGCACGCTGTTAAGTATCCAAGTAAAATATCAGATCCTTAAATTGTACTGTTAACATTAGATAATATAATATAATATCACACTTTCTGTGTGAGCTCCAGACATATACTAAGGTAACTATACTTTAAAAAACAGAAGAAAGAAGTGTAATATTTTATAAATGTGGTGGTATTCTAGAGTTCCTCTTGATCTACTTCTTCTTCAATGTTTAGTATTATTAGACTTCTTAAATTTTGCCAGTCTGAACGGCATAGGGTACAACTCTAAAAGTAACAGCAGTCAACATGAATTTGAGCTATTGATAGCAGTCCTGAAAAAATAAATATCTTTGGACAACAGGCAGAGGTGAAATAGTGGCATAACCACTGTACCTCAGTGTAACAGTGGGACGATTTCTGCTCCAGAGCTCTGGAGACCTGGAAAGCTGCTGTGTTCATTGCTTATAGTTCCTGTACCTGAAAATGACTAGTTATGATGGTTGTGCTGTATACTCTGCTTATCTGTTTTCCTCAACATCGTAGTGATTACCAGTGAATCAGGAATGTTGTATCCCTTTGTTATGCTAGAAGGGGAGAAAGAAATTGATCAGCCATTAGAAAAGTGCTGGCTTTCCAGAGCTGATCTTTCCTTCTCTGTGTTAGAATGCCCTGAGTTGGAGTTTATGATGAAAGTGGCATCCAGAATGAGCAATTTCTTAAGCCCAAGACAATTCAGGCAACTGGCTCTGATTTGTGGCTTTTGGAGTCTGTCATTGCTGACTTACTGAAGCCTATGACATCTCCATCACAAGTACCCATTGCATGCCGCATGAAGCATTTATTAATCATAGTTCAATCAATCCAGCACCCCCTCTTCTGCTCTTTACTTGAGAAGATGCCAGAGTAGCAAAATCTCGCTTTCATATTCTGACTGAAATCCTGCATTTATTCCAAAAACACATTAGAAGCATTTGCACTGCATTATTGTCAATCTAACATTTAAAAACTGTCTGAAAATGTTGCTTCCTCCTCCCAAGAATGTTTTTCACTCATCATCAAGGTCATACAGGTGTTCAAGGAACAATATGTTCTTATTATGTGATAGAGGAGGAAATCCAGTGGAGGTCAGATTATTATAACCAAAAAAAGAAATAGCTAAAATATCTCAATTCTTGTTGAGAGAAAAGGAAAAAGTCTACAGGAAATAGCTGAGCACTTAGCTGAGTGATATGACCAAGGAAAAACAAGAAATAAGGCTGGAAAGAAAAAAGTCCTCCACAGTTTTGACCCTCAAGGCCCTGTTTTCTATTAAAGAGATACATGAAGGCAGAATCACAGGGAATATCTTATAGGATTTGACATTCGGGCATTGCCATCAAACAGGCTACTATGAAAAAGGCCTGTGTACAGCAGCAGATGAAAAAGACATGAAACCCACCTTTACTCTCAGGGACTACGGGAGAAGCATTTACTTCTTTCAGAAGGAGGAGTGTAGGGCTGGGGTGGTGGCTCAATGGTAGAGCACTCGCCTAGCACATGTGAGGCCCTAGGTTCAATCCTCAGCACCATATAAAAATAAATAAAATAAAGGTATTGTTTCCAACTACAACTAAAAAATAATTATTAAAAAAAGAAGGAGGAGTGTAAATGCATAACAGAATTGGTAAATGAAATCTCTGATATCAAAGGCACCAGATCACAACTGAAGCTAAATATAGCCAAAGGTTTAAACCTACATTGTAGGTAACACTATCTAATTTATTAAAGAAACGTTCTATTTTTTAAATTATTTATTTATCTATTTGTTCTAATCAGTTATACAAGATAGCAGAATGCTCTTCGATTCATTTTACACAGATGGAGCACAATTTATCATTTCTCTGGTTATACACAAAGTAGGATCACACCATTGGTGCAATCATACATGTATCTAGAGTAATGATGTCTGTCTCATTCCACCATCTTTCCTACTCCCATATCCCCTCCCCTCCCCTCCCCACCTTCCTCTCTGCTCAATCCAAAATTCTTCCACTTATCCCATGCCCCCCCCCCATTATGGATTAGCATCCACTTATTAGAAAAAAACATTCAGCCTTTGGTTTTTGGGGATTGGCTTACTTCGCCTAGCATGATATTCTCCAACTCTGTCCATTTACCTGCAAATGCCATAATTTTATTCTCTTTTATCGCTGAGTAATATTCCATTGTGTATATATACTACAGTTTCTTTATCTGTTCATCTGTTGAAGGGCATCTAGGTTGGTTCCTTAGTTTGGCTGTTGTTAATTGTGCTGCTATAAACATTGATGTGGCTGTAGTATGCTGTTTTTAAGTCCTTTAGGTGTAAACTGAGGAGTGGGATAGATGGGTCAAATGATGGTTTCATTCCAGGTTTTTTAAGGAATCTCCATACTACTTTCCAGATTGGTTGCACCAATTTGTAGTCCCACCAGCAATGTATGAGTGTGCTTTTCCCCCTACATCCTCACCAATACTTATTGTAATTTGTATTCTTGATAATTGCCATTCTGACTAGAGTAAGATTAAATCTTAGAGTAGTTTTGATTTGCATTTCTCTTATTACTAGAGATGTTGAACATTTTTTCATATATTTGTTGATCTATTGTATATCTTATTCTGAGAAGTATCTGTTCATTTCCTTAGCCCATTTATTGATTGGGTTGTTTGTTTTTTGTTTTTGATGTTAAGTTTTTTGAGTTTTTCATCTGATGTGTGTGTGGTAGAAATTTGCTCCCATTCTGTAGACTCTCTCTTCACTTCATTGATTGTTTCTTTTGCTGAGAAGCTTTTTAGTTTGAATCCATCCCATTTATTGATTCTTGATTTTATTTCTTTGCACTTTAGGAGTCTTATTAAGGAAGTCAGGGCCTAATCTGACATGATGGAGATTTGGGCCTACTTTTTCTTCTATTAGGCATAGGGTTTCTGGTCTAATTCCTAGGTCCTTGATCCACTTTTAGTTGAGTTAAAGAAACATTTTAAATGAAAAAATAATATCTTCATGATTTGGGGTTAGAGAAGAATTTCTTAAATAAGACACAGGATAATGAGTATTAAAAAGAAAAAATATCTGAACCCAATATAAAAATGGGCAAAGGACTTGAATAGATATTTCTTCAAAGAAAACATACCAGTGGCCACTCAGGTATATGAAAAGGTACTTGACATTGCTAATCATCAGGGACATGCCAACTAAAAACACAATGCTATATCAACTAACACATGTTAGGATGACTATTTAAAAAGCACAAGATTATAAGTGTTGGTGAAGATGTAGGGAAATTGAAATCTTTGTACATTGGACACACTGTTGGTGGGCATGTGCTACTGCTGGGTAATAACTGGTACAAATACTTTGGTCAAATGTTCTCTCTGATATGTGGATGCTAACACACAAGGGTGGGGTAGATGTTCAGTGAATTAGATAAAAGGGAATGAAGGGAAGTGGGGGAAGAAATAGGAAAGACAGTGGAATGAATCTGACTAACTTTCCTATGTACATATATGAATACACCACAGTGAATCTCCGCATCATACACATTCACGAGACTGGTATCCTAATTAGATTAAGATATTCTCCACATTTGTATAAATATGTCAACATTGACTCTACTGTCGTGTATAACTAAAAAAGCAAATAAAAAATAAAATTTTACGGAAGGCACCAAAAAAAAATTGGAATTGTCTCCTAAGCAGAATACATGCATGCCATACCATATGACACATATGACATCAAGGTAATAGAGCCAACCAAAATACAGGCACCCCTGCACCAAGAGACATGAACAAAAATGTTAATAGGACTTCTGCTTTCCAGGTCCATGTGTAAGAGTTTAGAAGTTGCTACTCCATCCTAACAAGTGAAAAGCCAAACAAACTGAATAATCAACTCCAAATCCCCCCTCCCTGAAAATTAACCCCAGCATCCCAAGAGACATCCTTAGATCCTGTCCAAATTGGTTATGAATTGAGAGGGAAAGCAATAGGTGGTGGTTCTTCTCAATCTGAAGGGGAGTCTAATCATATTCTAATCTAGTCATTTGTCATTATTGTGTAGAGAAACAATGAAGGAATGAGTTATCCCTTAAGAAAACCTCTCACCAAAGTGTGTTTGTTTATTTTAGGTCATTCACACCTTTCTGCTATTCCCAACCATTGAGCGAATGGCTGAGTCACCCAATGGCAGGATTGCCACTCCATTTCTGTGCTGGTTTCGATATGCTCTCTATGTCACTGGCTACTTATTACTTAAACCATGTCCTGAGAAAATCAAGTCCTTGATAATCAGAATGGGCCTTCAAGTAATGAACCTGAAGACTGAATTTTTACAGACGAATATATTACAACCGTTCTGCCTTGGTAAGCACATTTTAAAAGGTATATGTTATTGTTGAATAAGGAAATATTTACAGAAAAATCTTAGGCAGAGGATGAATATCAAGCAAGCAGTTGTTTGTTGGATTTCCCCCCAAAGGTTTAAAACCAGAGATAAATAAATTAGAAACAGGAGTGAGTGAAGGGAGTTCTGTAATGCAAATGGGTAGAAAAGCCTCATCAAACTTTAATTTTACCTATGCTTCTGATTCTCCAGTCTCGAAGCAGTTCTGTGTGTAGTGCATAGCATGTGTTGAGTCCTCCTAGGAGCCCAGGGTTTGCTTTGTTGGTTCAGTGTTTTGCAAAAACAGCCTAAGAAAACCAGGCCCACTATTCCAGCGGAGTAGACAGGTTATGCTTTTATTTTCCTCCTTTAAATCTTGTTGTGGGAGCTTAAATTCTAAAAGGATTAATCATCACACCACAGTGTTCAGAGCCAGGTAGTGTGTCTTTCACTGTAGCTGCTGCAGTTGTCTTTTTGCCCTAATTGATGATAAAGGCAGGACTCCTGAAAAAAGTTTAGCATCATCTCCTGTGTTGAGAATGCCACAGAATCACATGCACAGTGATTAACTAACCATGGACCCTGTCCAGCTGTGCAGCTACACTTAGTATGTGAGGTGTTTTCCAAATATGTATCTATCAACAGTCATCCAGATACAAGGCTTAATATATATTCTATATTTGTGGATTTTTTTTTCTCTCCTCTCTCCAACTCCCATTCTTTATTATAGCCTTAACCTAGTAGTGACAAAAAGATGAGAGAGGGAGAGGGAAAGCAAGACTGAGGACAGTCATAGAAATTGCCAGAGGTTGAAGTTGGAGATGTTCCTTAAAGAAGACTCTCTGGTCTAACTCCTCACCTTTTGCTCCTGTTTACAGACAAGGGGTTGTATGGTGTGTGGGAACAGCACTGCCTGAGACCAGAAACCCTCAGCTCTCAAATTGGGTCAGCCTAGACTGAATCTGTGGCCTCAATTTAGTCACTTTCCCTCTTTGGTTCTGTTGTTGATCAAATTAAGAATTACACTAGGTGATCTCTCAGGGCCAGTTCATCTTTGGAAATTATTTGAAAACAAATGGAAAGCAACATTTGAAATTCTGGCAAACGTATGTGAAATTTTCTATATGTTCTTCAATAAGATCATCTTAATTCCCCTTATGATTCCTCTCCTCCTACCCCCAGCATTTTCTTGGTACCAAAAGTGTTTCAGATATATGAGGTTTTTGGATTTGGGGAAATATTTGCATAGACTATACAGGTTGAGCATTCCCGATCCAAAAATTCAAAATCTGTAACTCTCCCAAATCTGAAACTTCTATGCTCAAAAAGTTTCATATTTCATATTTTCAGATCAGTAATGTGCCTTGTAATAAAAATCCAAACAATCCACTTAGAAAACGGATTAAAGACATGAACATACATTTTATTAAAGAGGTTATTCAGATGCCAAGTAAGGACATGAGAAGTTATTCAACGTCATTAGTCATTATGAAAATGCAAATTAAGATCACAATGAAATATCATTATATACCTGTCAGAAGAGCTGAAATGAAAAATAGCAACAGCAGACTCCAGTGAGGATGCAGCAAAATTGAATCACTCGCACTCTGCTTCTATAATATAAAATTATATACTACTTAGGGAAAAAACAGCTTGTTTCTTAAAAACTAAATGTGCAACTACCATTGAACCTAGCAATTGCATTTACAGACATTCATCCCTGATGAATGAGAATTATGTTCACACAAAGACCATAATAACCCAAAACTGGAAACAACCTGATGTCTTTCAGTGGGTGAATGGCTAAACAAAGTCTGATGTAGCCATACCACAGAAAGCTCTCAACAATAAAAAGGAACAAGCTCTTAACACATACACAAATGTGTAATCTGTCTCTAGAGTATTATGTTTAGTGGGGGGAAAAATCCCCAAATTTACATAGGTATTTACATAGGTATGACTCCATGTAATAGCATTCAGAAAATTATAAAATTACAGATTTGGAAAATAAATTAATAGTTGCCAAGTGTTAAGGATGGAAAGAGGGCAAGGATGGAAATGAGTAGGTTTATAAAAGGGCAACAAGAGAGATCCTTGCAGTGATGGAATTATTTTTTTATTTTTTTTTATTTTGACTGTATAAGTGTCAGTGTCGTTGTTGTAATACTATACTGTAGTGTTGCAGATGTAATCTTTAGAGGAAACTGAGTAAAGGGTACATATATTTCTCAAAACTTGCATGTGACTCTAAAATTATCTTAAATAAGAATTAAATTAAAAATAAAAGCATTTACCAGACCTGGTGGCACATGCCTATAATCCCAGAAGTTCAGGAGGCTAAGGCAGGAGGATTATGAGTTCAAAGCCAGCCTCAGCAACTTAGTGAGGTCCTAAGCAAGATCCTGTCTCTAAATAATTTTTTTTTAAAAGGAGGGGGCCTGGGGATGTGGCTTAGTGATTAAACACCAGGTTCAATCCCCAGTACCAAAAAATAAATAAAAATAAAAATAAAAGTATTCTTCAGCTGGGGACTTCATTTTCCTCCCTAGGTGCCGCAGTCTGGCTGGGCACACAATCACGAGCCACCACACAGCTTGTAGATTCAAACAGCAACTAACTCTTTATTCCCGAACTCACACCAGCCGTCTACAATCACGTTCTGGGGAAATCCACGTTCTCTGCCCAAATCCAAATCCACTGGGCTTCTATCTCCAAAATATACTGTCTGAATCCCATGAGAACTCAAGGGGAACTCAGGCAGCAGGATACGCCCTATTCCCAGCAGGAATAATCTTAAACCTTAAACCTGGAACCTAAACCAGGAACGCCCTAATCCGCCTTGGTCCTTGAGCAAGGTCACCTACATTCAATGTCACTGCAACATGGGGTGCGCTGGCAAGGAAATTGTCATACCTACTTGGCTAATGGCTCCCAGCATCTCCCCCCTTCTGATTAATTAAACAACAAGCAATGTGGCTTAAGGACCGTGCCTGGTAGGTTGTCCAATAACATATGGTTCTTACCCGTCATCGGAAAACTGACCTTTAGGCGTCAGCCTCCTGTCTTAGGTTGATACCACTGCAATTGAATCACACCCGTCACTGACTACCGGTCCAGCATACAGCCATACTTGTGGATAGGTCTATGCACCAGTGGGGGGGTGAGGTTCTTTGCCTCACCTCTGTTGGCCCCCAAATTTGGCCTTGGTGCCAGTGGGGGAGTGAGGTTAATGTGGCTTAAGGACCGTGCCTGGTAGGTTGTCCAATTCAACATATGGTTCTTACCCGTCATCGGAAAACTGACCTTTAGGCGTCAGCCTCCTGTCTTAGGTTGATACCACAGCAATTGGATCATACGCGTCACTGACTACCGGTCCAGCATAAGCCATTGGCCCCCAAATTTTAGACCATCACTAGCAGAAGGGAGGAGGATACAGAAATGCCACGACACCAAGCCAATTGACGGCTCCTTGGGAAAAATTGCATCACTGGTGACACCATCAGCAAAGATATGTCAGCACTACCACAATTAACATGGGGTGCGCTGGTAAGGAAATAAAAATTGCATCACTAGTGACACCATCAGCAAAGATATGCCAGCATTACCACAATTCGCTGCACCAAACGATAGTTACATAGTCCAGGCAAGTTCTGCAAGCAGTTCAAAGCGGAGGAATCTATCAATATGTCCATTTCCTCCCAAAATCCGTTTCCTCCCAAAGTAAGTTAACTCCTTGATTGAGCATTACTTGTTGAGTTATATTCATTGATGCATCAGTTTATACAGTTTACTGTGATAGCTATCATAGAAGCTGTAGTCTGGTTGTATCTTTGTCTTCACCGGCACTGGGATGAAGATAGGAATTCTGGCAATGATGCTAAAGAGACATTATCCTGAAAAGAATTATTAAATATAATGAAAAAGAAAGGTGAAAGTAAACAAACAGATCTGTTAACCTACTTTAAAAACAATCCTTAACAGCTGTTTACCTAATTTAAATTAAACCATTTAAATCACGTGAATAAAAATAATAATAATAATAATAATAATTCGGATCCATTTTTTCATGAGCGCTCCTCATATAAGAAATATGGACATACGCACATACAGACATACAACACAAAACACAAGAGTGTACACAAACGTACAACACATAAAAAAATAGTAAAGGCCTTGTAGCTTTACCTGGGTGAAATCTCCATTGCAATGTTTAAAAACTCCACAGTCAAAAAATAAAAATGATCAGAAAAACATTAACCTAGGTTTGTATGAGCTCAAAAAATAAAAATAGAACCTTATGATGTAGAAAAATGCAATAATAAAATAGCTATTGAAAAAAGCATCCTGGTTAATCACTGTCACAGATGTAAGAATGGCCAAGCTGGAGTTCTGGGTATCAGCTGTTATGGATTTGAGTCAAATCATCTTCTTTTCGATCTGTAGAAATTGTTTTAGTTAATCTCTCTGGAATCCAAATTGGCTGCTGTTCTCCCTGTGGAAACACACAAACAAAACCCCGACTCCAGACAATCACTGGGTCAGGACCTTTCCATTGTCCTGTTAGAATATCTTTCCAAAGTACCTTAGGCTTATGTACATTTTTTGGATACATATGTCTTTCCGCAGCACTAAGTCCTTATGAATCCAGATTTTAAAAGTTGAGTAAAAAGGGTTATTTCAAGTTTATCTTTGGGGGATATATACCCCCTTCCAATTCCCTCTTTTTGCTTTAATAAGTATATGTCTGTATCTAATAGTTGTCTTAGCTTTTTGCATTTTCTATATGAAATACCTTTACTTGACATTTTCAACCATTTTCTATCTTATTTCTATCTTCTAGTTTTTTTTTTTTTTTAAGGTTTGTATATTTACCCTTAGTTGCTTATTTTCCTCCTAGTTTTTTTTTTTCTTCCTATTTTGTGGGTTTAAAATTCTTGTCTTCCTACATCTTTTCTATCTTTCTACATCTTCTTTATCTTTTTTCTTTTTAACTTTCTATACTTCTGTCTTTAAAGTTTTTCACTTTTTGATCTTCTTTATCTAAGTATCTTTTATCCTATTATCTTCCCATTTTTTTTAAGTAATGCCTTTAAGATTAACTAGGCTTCGAATGATGCAATAAAGCAATCTTTTTTCCGCCATGAAGGTATCTCGACCACCTTCAATTTAACCTTTTAATTATCATCTATACTGTACTTTTAAATGTACTTTTTCACCACCTACAACTTCACTTTTAAACGAGGCTTAGATTTTGTTTAAATCGCTTCAATGTTAGTTTACATGGCTGCCCTTCAACCAAAGGCTTTTTTTTTTAACTCCATTGAGAAGCTTTGTCTCAATCTGCCATGTACAAATACCTTTTTCTTCTTTCTTCCTTTCTCAAGCTTTTAAAGTAAGTCTAGTTTCCTCAAAATTTTTTTAAATGGCATTTTACAACTTTTACTTTACCACATAGAGATTATCTCATCTAGAAACATTTCTTTTTCCTTTAACCTTTTATATTAAAATATATTTCCACATCTTGAATCTTTTTCTATCTCTTTTTTAACCGTTAACCCTTTTTATAAATTCACATTTTGAAACAACTCTTATAAAATTTCTGATTTAGACAAATTACTCCACTTTAATAAAACGAAAGACTTTCATGTTTTTTATGATACTATAATACTATAATTGAAACCCAACTGAAAATTTTTCTACTCTTTGTATATAAATTACACATGATAGAATCTTAACACTTAGTAACCTTGTTTTAGCAAAGACACAGACACAAAGCAATATTAAACCTTTTTCCATTTACCAATTTATGAAAACACATAATGTTTAAATATATTACCTTATGGAACTTAATAAGTAAGAGTACTTGATTTCATATTTAGTGGTTGATATTTTAACACTTTAGCTTTGTAAATTAATCAGATGTCTGTAAAAACCAAGATCTTAGACAAATGTAGTAAACAGAACTAGCCATCTCTTTCTTGTTGAAGAAAAATCCTTCTACAGGATACCATGATGGTCCCATTGATATACTTAATAACTCGTCTTTCAAAGGCCATGTGCTACATTTTTGTATGTATCAACATATGCCCTAACTGTTGTTGGTCTTACTGGGGTGCCTCCTTCCTCTAACAATTTCTCTTCCTCAGAGGCGAACAACTTCAAACCTTGAGTCAACCATTTTCCCCAGTTTGCCTGAGAAAGTTCTAGGAACAGGCAACTTGAAATAAAAACAAAATAAATCAAAACAATAACACATTGTTTTTTGAATTGGTCACCCATTCTTTCGCTCTTCCTCAGGGGTGAGAAATTTCACTTACCTCCAAGCTTCAGAAGTTCCCCGTACGAGCCGCCAAATGCCGCAGTCTGGCTGGGCACAAATGCCGCAGTCTGGCTGGGCACACAATCACGAGCCACCACACAGCTTGTAGATTCAAACAGCAACTCTTTATTCCCGAACTCACACCAGCCGTCTACAATCACGTTCTGGGGAAATCCTCGTTCTCTGCCCAAATCCAAATCCACTGGGCTTCTATCTCCAAAATATACTGTCTGAATCCCATGAGAACTCAAGGGGAACTCAGGCAGCAGGATACGCCCTATTCCCAGCAGGAATAATCTTAAACCTTAAACCTGGAACCTAAACCGGGAACGCCCTAATCCGCCTTGGTCCTTGAGCAAGGTCACCTACATTCAATGTCACTGCAACATGGGGTACGCTGGCAAGGAAATTGTCATACCTACTTGGCTAATGGCTCCCAGCACCTAGGATAGGTGTTTTCTTCATTCTGACTGCCTAAATTAGGTGTTCTTTATCCTTGAGACACGAGAAGGTTGAGGACCATAGCCCTAGGACTAAGAGCACATTCCAAGGCAGCTACCATGCTTTCCTTACGCCTCCTTGGAAATATTTTCTAAGCCCAAATTAGGACATGGGATATAAGAAATATGTATTTGTTTCTTTATTTACAAATGAAAAGTCTAGGTAAAATGAATTACAATTATATACTTATGAATATATTATATATATAACATATAGTCAAATACTTATTTTTTTATTTAAAAATATATTTATAAAAAGGTATTTTTCCAAGTTATAAATGCCTGTTAGAGAAGCAGGCCCCAAAAACTACACTTGAAAGAAAGGAGTCTTCCTTTTAACTGCAGTGATTGACCTCCAATTACGTCTTCTAGCAGCCCCAAATTCAGGAAACAGGGAGAAGGCAGGTTAGACACAGGACACATTCACCACAACCAGAGCCTTCCAGCCACATTGTTGCTTGAGGAATCTGGACTTCTTTTCCCGCACAACCATAGTAGAGTTATGCCACATGCAAAATGTACTATAAACCAGACTGAACATTTTTCATCTCATTCCAACAAATAAACTTGAAAATGAATAGCCCTCATCTTCCATCCTTTCCTTCTCTAGTCTTCTAACTCATTGGCTCTAGATATGGCCTTCTGATATCCAAGTATTCATTACTTCAGTAGCCTCCATTTTATTCCCATTACCTACCCAGTCTGTGTAACTGGGTAAAGAGAAAGGAGATAAGAATTACTTGTCCTCTTTCTTTTTTGGGTTCTCAGTTCATTCCCTACTTGGATACTTAGTTCAGTCTCTTAGTAGTGTCCCCAAGCTGATCATTAACTAAGAGTCTCAAATATCCTAGGCACCTCTTCTCACCTGTCTCCTCTGGATCCCGTGTCGCTCTGCCTGCTCTTGGCAACAACCCTCACAGAAGCAAGCTTTGTCCAGACATGCCTTTGCCATCCTTATACAACTCCTATTGGCTTGCTTACTACAAATGGAAGAAGGTCCCAGCTGAGAGAGAGCTCAAAATAGAAGACCTGACCCCCTTGTAGATGATTAGTGGGCTCTGTCAGAGCCTATGCCCCACATATGGTGAAGGTAACCAATATTCATATAGTCACATGAATTGGTGGCATGATTTCAGGTTTCATGAAGAGAAGGGTTGCCAAGAGGAAAGAAGCGGTACTGTCTGGTCCAGCTGGATATTCCCCCTGCAGATCTCCTTCTCTGTGACTTGACTGTCATCTAGACAATGACCCTTAATTTGCCAGCTTGACTTGTACAGGCCTTGCAGTGTTTGCACATTATGTAATGTCTGTGCTTCAGGAGAAATCACACGGAAACAAATGGAGGAAGTTCTCTAGTCCAAGTAGTGGATAATAAATCCTGCCCTATCTAGATAAAAACTATTCTTCTGTATCCTTTAGTTTATATACTCACATTTTTGTTGTTGTTGTTGTAAGCTCTGAAAAATTCAAGGAATCAAAATATTCAAGTATTTCAAATGCTGCTACCCTTTGGCAAAGATGGCGCATCCCTTCATGGAGACTGGTGTGCTGTGGCATTAGTGTTCTTCTCCGGTGTGTGTGAAACATCATTTCCTACCCAGCATTCAGAGAAGAGTAACCCTAATCCAGTTAGCATGCATTATAAACACTACCAGTGTTCACCAGTGGTATCTGTATAACTAGATTGTTTTAAATGTTATTTTTAAAGAACGTTCATGGATATTTTCCTCCTTTATTTCAAATATGGAATGTTTGCTATTCCATATTTTCTTTAGAGTAGATTTTCTTCCATCTCATGAGAAGTAAACTTTCTTCTCAGACAACTAAATTGGATTTTCTGATCAAGGCTAAAAGAAGATATATTTTAGCTCAGCAGTATCACAGGTCAAATAATTAAATTTTTAAAAATATTCTAAGTTCTTTTCATTAGGCTAAATTGATGTTTTAATTCCTTTCAGTTACCTAACTAGAAAAACATAGCACAGAGAAATAAAGAATTCCTGGTGGGTTACTTTGTTGAATATGTTCTTGCAAAAGAAACTTTCACATTTTTCCTTTCTTTAATCAATATCAAAATAACTTTTTAAAATATTTACAATGACATCTAATGAACTGAACTATTTAATGAGCTGACAACACAAGATTCACTGAAGAATCACAAATTTCTTAGAGTATTTTTAACTCAAACACATTAATTTTTTTTATTAAGAAGAAACCCCCTTGCTGCCTATTCTTTCACTTGTGTGAGCAGCTTGTAAAAATAAAACCCAACTGCAGTTTTTAACAATTCATATAAGTTCTACCTCAAATTCAGGAATAAAGGGGAAAACAAGGCATTTTTGGCTTTTGTAGTGTTTGGATTTAGGGCCAAGAATGATTAAATCTGATGCGAGGATATCATCTCCCTTTTAGAAACAAAAGGGCTTGTGAATATCCTACTGTATTTTTCTGAAGAAATCTTAGGATTTAAAATTATCTTTCAGTCTAAAAAGTTGTATCATTAAAAAAAAATATGGTATCTTGGGTTGCATTTTTCTTTTGGGTGAATGCACTGTCACTTGTGTGAGTTATCAATTTGCAGACTAAATGGATGATCATAATAACCAGAATCCTGGCTTACAAAGAAACACATAATAAATCAAATGAATAATTAACATTTTTCCATATTACACAGAAATTTTACAATGGGAGAATTTCTCTTTTAGTTCTGATTTCTACATTGTTAAAAGCCACATTTGGCATCATTACTAAATATGGAAAACAACCTGGAAAAAATAAAGAACCGCTAAAGAAATTCCCCTTGTTAAATGGCTTCATCCTAGTTTCTGAGCCTATGTAGCCCTGCTAAATCTTTTGACAGAACCTCCTGTTTTATGGCTCTTTGAATACCCCACCTTACTCTGCTGGCAGTGGTGCATGGATTTCATAGAGTGGAAACTGCTTAGGTCTCCAGAATACTTAAGTCTCATAATCTGACCTCAATCCCAGACTTTGCTACCATGCAGACCTGCTTGGCTCCAGCCTTCCTAACTCCCCTGTACCCCCAAAATCTTGTTACCCTCAGGGATAGTCAGAAGATGTGCAAGGAGGGGCTACCCTTGAAAGGCTCTTTTCAGTCAGCCACTACAACTTCTTTCTCTTGGAAAGCCCTAGATTTGTGCAGATGTGGTATGATGCCACCTTTCTCCCCCACTCCATTGCCAGAATCTCATGGAAGTTAAGCATAACAACCCCTGTGCTTCAGATAAAAACACCCAGAAAATTCAAAGGCACTATCTTTATTTTTATCAGCTGGGATGAATTTGACTATAGTTATCAGAAAACTATGAATTTGACTATAGTTAACAGTGGCCAAAACAGAGAGGTCTGTTTTTCTCATGCACCAAGAAATTGAGATGTAGTAAGATGAAGTAAAAATCATCCACACGATGCCATCAGGGCTGTGGGTTATTGGTACATTTCCACTCTGTTGGCCTTAGCATGTAGACCTTTCTAATGCTCATCATCTCATGCTTACATGATGGCTCCCTAGGCCTCCTATTTGACATTCCAATAGAAAACAAAAAGAGTTGGGGAGAGGTAAAAAAGCAAAAGGTCTATTCCTAATTAGCCTTTGGGTTATTAAGAAAGAGAAGTCCTCCCCAGGATCTTCCTCTTCTAGATTAAAAGCCAAAACTGTCACATCACTCCCTAAAAGGGATATAGAGAAGTCACACATTGACTTTCCTCATCTCTTGTTAGAGGAAGTCAAGGGAAATGAAGAATTTTTTTATTGGCTTTTGGATCATTACATCATTATCTACTACAGCCTCCTACAAGATAGTCTTAAGACTCATCTTTCATGTATTTAATCACCTACCAAACACCTCACTAAGGCAGTTAACTCCATTTCCTGTTCACCATGACTAAAATCTACCACAGCCATGTTTATCCAAAATGTCTTCAGAGTTTATAACCCTTGGCAAGTTAAAACCTCAGACAGGGTCTACAGTGTATTTCTTAATTGTTGCTGGCCTTCTGCAAAGATGTCTGAATGTATCTGTTCATGGGAGAGCCCATTTCAGTTCCCATGGTTATTATTATTTTTTTTTTATTTTAAGGGGAGTTTAAAATAGAACATGTTACTGTTTCACCTGTATTAGTTGTTACTAGTGACTTCCCTTCCCAGCCACCCTTCCATCATCATGGAGATAAATGTACTAAACCCTTTTTCTATCCACCAAATCTTATAAGGAATACATTTTTTAAAAGAATCATTTTTCCTTATAAATATCGTGATTTATTTTGGACATATAGACTCTGTCGGCCCCTTTAAAGACTTAAAGTGATAAAAATAATAGTTCAGACAGAATAGATGAGGAGTAACCATCACACTTTACACTGCAGTGTGTATACCACACATGGTACATTTCCTGTCTCCATGATTCACCTGCCCTAATTACACTATGCCTGTATCCAGTAATTCCCTTTGCTTCAGCACCAATTACCTTTTCTCCCCACTGTGGTGACAAAGTCATAGTATTCTGTGGAATCACCCAGTGGCACTAGACCATATACTCCCAAAATAGCAGGACAACTTTTCTTCTCAACTCCAAGTTCTGCTTCGGAAAGCTATTCGTACATCTCTTTAAAACCTTCCATTTGATCATTACCTGTGATTTTATTTGTCTCTCTATTGTCCCTGGATGCTATCTAACTAGTGCTTATGTAGCCTAGTTTCTGACTTGTCTCAACAGAAACTCCTGGACCTGCCCTCTATCCTGTGATTATTTATCCCACTTGTATACCAACGCCTGTCAGCTTGGCCTATCAATGTTGGTGTGCTTCGGCCTCCACTTTTGGCCTCCATTGTGATCTCAGTTCTTGGACCACTTCAAATGAGGTGGTAGACTTATCCTCCTCACCCTCCAAAACTACTAGCCCCACGCTACCTCCTCCCTTAGTCCATTCCAATTTATTTCAGTTAATAACCTTCTTTTCAAAGACATGCCATAAACCAAATTATCAAGCATGGTGGAAATAATGAATGAAATATAGGTCCTGCCCTTAAGTTACTGACAGTGCACTAGGAGAAACAAATGTGGAAAATGTTTAATTTAACACAGTAAGGGCTCTCATAAAAATAGATGCAGAATGTGGGTGGTTCTTTGAAAGAGAGATCATTCTACCTGTATAAATAATAGAGAAGATAAGTTAGCTTGGACTTGAAGGTGACTTGGTATTTTTCCAAACTGACAAAATGGCACCAATATAAGTGACAGTATTAAACAGAAGGCAGCCTTCTGCTATAGATTATGTGCACTTGGAAAACTCATTGATAACATTTGAACTATGAAATTAATGTTCTGCTGGTCTTCCAACTTTAACCCCCACTCAGATATTTCAAACCGTTTAGCCCTTCTACTATAAGTTGAAGTCCCAAAGTAATATTTGAACATTAAGTAGATTTCAGAAGATGGTGGTAGCCAATAAAATAGATTGACACCTCAGCGAGTCCTTTTTTCATACCTGTATTTTTATTTATTTTTAATATGTATTTTTTAGTTTGTAATTGGACACAATACCTTTGTTTTATTTATTTATTTTATTTTTTTTTTTGTGGTGTTGAAGATTGAACCCAGGGCCTCGCACGTGCTAAATGAGTACTTTACCGATGAGCCACAACCCCGGCCCTTGTATTTTATTTTTAATGCAACTAAAGTAAACAATTAACATTCTTCTGAATCATTCTTTCTTTCATGTTTTTGTTTCCATTATTCCTGGTACTAAACATTTCCTTCACTATGGTGCTTGAAACTCTGAATTCTGCTGGGTTTCCAGGAATGCTGTTAACATTCATTGCCAAGAGAAATGTGTTTTCCACTTAGGAAATTACACTTCTATTTGATATTATTATTTCTGACCACTGTGCTGCATTAAGAGCATTTCTGAGGAATGACAAAGATGGCTTCCTAAGAGCAATTACTGGAAAATAAACTCGTGTTCTGGTTAAGTGTGGGGGGCATGGGTGGAGGGGAGAGTATACTTAGAGGGAAATTACCAAAAAAAAAAAAAAATAAGAGTCATAATAAAGGGATTGGGCACATTTCCTGATGAAACTTTTGTTTTAAAAAGTGTTAAAAATCTCTACAAGTTCTTTGAATTTTAAGTTTTTAATTAAGAAATGACAGAAAAATATTTAAAAGTACCCCATGAATTATATCAATACAGTGTTCCCTTAACTACCACCCAACTCAAGATCCACTGCCTGGATCTGAGAAGCCCCCTTTAAGCCCTTTTTACACCATCTCCAAATGTAGTTACTCTCTTGACATCTACTGATACTATTTAGTTTTGCCTGGTTTTGAACTCTGTGTCACTTGTTTGTCCTTTTGTATCTGGCTTCTTTCATGCAGCAGAGTGTGATGTACACCTGTTTTGTTGCCTGTGGTTTTTTCATTTAATTACTCTGTATTTTGCCATTGGTTGAATTACACTTCAGTGTATTTATTCTGTGTTGATGGTGTTTGGGTCATTTCCAGTTTGGGACTATTAAAGGTAATACTGATCAACATATGCTTCCCCCAGTTTCTGGTTGTTTCTCATATGATTATACTGATCAATACTTAGCTGAAACTAAATGGTAACCCTCTGCAGATCTCTGGAGCTTTCCTCATTCATGGCAGATCTCTCCTCCCACTATTTTGCCTTGTCAAAAACCAAAGCATTCACCTCCCTAGACTGTCAGTCCTGTCTCCTTGTTTTAAAATGTACCTGGAAAAGTGACAGACATGAAAACAAACTGTGTTGAAAGAGAAGTTAGTTACTTACAGTTCCCAGGAGAGCAGGGGGACATGCTACACGAGGCAGGGTTAGACAGGTAAGCACCTCATTGGGTCAGAAAGCAGAAGGAACACAGGTGAACATGGCCTAGGGGTTCCAAGAAAAGGAGTGGGTGAGGCAAGTTTAAGATAGCTAATTTGAATAATTTTGCCAAGCTCTAGACTTTTGAGATGGTCCCTAATTGTCTGGTACTTGGCCCTGGGATGATTTAGAACAGGGAAAACACTGACTTGCTGGCTTGTTTCCTAAGTAACAAGGAGTATGGACTTTGGATTGGTTGGCTTGCATGTGAAAGGCATGTTCGCAGGGAAATCAAAGAACTAACTATCCCTGAGAGAGGTAATCTCCCCCTGGTCAGCAAGGTCACCAAGATGTCAGTGCATCATAAAATGTAGAATATTAAAAAAAAGACTCATGCTCTCCTCAACTTGGGGAGATTACCAAATTCTGCATGTCTTCCTCCTTCCTGTACTGCAGCCTGAAGACTTTTCAACACAAACAACAAGCTAAGATGATTATAACAGTCACCTCATCATTTTCAGTTTTCTCTAGGTTCTTTGCCCAATATCCAGTGTCTTGAAAATCTTTTCTTCTTCATATATTTTATTTGTTGCTCTAGTTTTAGAGAGGAAATCAAATCCATTTTCTATCATTCCATTTTTTTCAGAAATGGAGGAACTATGTGAGGTCATTCTCCCCCCCCCTTTTTTTTTTTTTTTTTTGGTACTGGGGATGTTTAATCACTTAACCACTGAGCCGTATCCCAGCCCTTTTAAAAATATTTTATTTAGAGAGAAGGTCCCACTAAATTGCTTAGGGCCTTGCTAATTTGGCTTTAAACTTGCAATCCTCCTGCCTCAGCCTCCCAGGCCTCTGGGATTATAGGTGTGTACCATTGTGCCAAGCTGGGGTCATTTCCATTTGAGATTACAATTCAGTTGAGATTTTTGGAAGCAACAGCATGGCTTCTATCTAAAATTCAGCAATCTTCATTAACAGATTCCACTTTTCCATCTCTGAAGACATTTTTGTTTCATAGAAACTTAAAACATCTCAAATTTCATGAGGAAGATTTTGTTTTATAAACAGCTTAAAATCAGAAATCTTTTACTAACAGTGATTGAAGTTTAATTATTTCTTGACTTACAAAACTTTATTTAAAAAATGCCAAGTATGAGGTATTAAAACCACACATTTAATGCTATAACACAGTACACTTCAAATATATAGATGTGGGGCCTTGGAGGCATCTCACATGGCAGCCATGCACCAAAGTTAAGCTTCCCACACCCCACATCAGAACCTTATCTGGCATTACCTAACAGTTCCCAGGTGACCTTTCCATTGCATTTATAGCCCTCAGTGCTATAAATGAATGTGGCCTTACTAAAAGTTGGAGAATGTCTGATGTAAGTACTCATTGCTACTTACCTAGTTAGAATGTAAATTGAAGGCCTCCGTTACCATAGGACATCCCCCCAAAGGGAAACAAGTACCAAATTTAACACAGTTGATTTAGGATTTAGCTTTTGTAATATAATTCTTTTGTAAGTTCTATACTATCTATATTGGCATTTTTATAGGAAGGCTAAAAAAAGACATTTTTATAGGAAGGGTATGTTACTTAACATTTTATACTTCTTATACTATATATATATATATATATGAAACCAATTGATTTGATTATGAACATCACTGGTCAACTGGAATCTCTGTAATGGATCTGGAAAGGTAAAAGTAAATCTACCGTTTATAATTACAGAGTAACATTTTGCTCATGGTCAGAGTGTTTTGTGTTGAATTTCAAGCACCCAGAATTGCAATGAGGAACTTCTACCTAGGAGAAAAGGTGTACTATATAAGTCACTCTTGGACTAATTAGGACTGCTCCTAAGGTTCTTCTGTCACATATAAGAAAGTATTGTGCTTTCACTTCTTGTAATATGGGACTCAGCCCCTTGGTAACAAAAAAGAAATCAGACCCACTATGTCTGCAGGGAAGGTAGGGGAATGAGTTATATCCACCTATCTTGGATAAATGGGGCCTTCACTGCAGATAAGTGTCTTTCTAACATTGTGTCAAAAATTGAGAATCTTAGCTGAGACTAGCCTATCTATGTCACACTCAATGATAGCCACATTACACAGGAGAGCTGGAAAGTGGATTGCTGTACAGCAGGGCCTGCTGTTAACAGGAAAGAAGCTCATCATTCTGATTGCATCTATAAGGGAAAGCTTTCTACCTACCTGTGAATGAACAGGGTATCTCATATCCAGGGACAAGACCTGCACTCTCAAAATGAGACGGACATCATTATTCCAGGTACATGTATGAGTGCACGAATTGTGTGACTCTACTTCATGCTCAACCAGAGAAGTGAAAAATTCTGCTCCATTTGTGTACAATGAATTGAATATCTTTCTGCTGTCATGTATAACTGAATAGAACTAATAAAAAAATTTCAAGGCTAGAAGAAGAACACAAGTAAATACTTTTCCTGAATAGATGCATTATAGATCTTGTATTTGCAGGAAGAATACCATTACCAGTTGGAAGGGAGGGAGGAGAGGGAGAAGAAAAGGGAGAACATGGATTCCATCAACTAGAAAGAACCACTATTATTATTTTATTGTTCATCATTTCATATATCTGTACCACATATCTGTCTTTTATTTACAATAGGATCATACTGTATCAGTTTGTAATCTGCTTTTTTCCAACTACTGTTATGCTTAAATATGTATTTGACATTATATATTCTTTAGCATAATTTTTAGTAAGTTATGTGTTGAATTAATTGAGGGGGATGGACCATAATTTATTAACCTATTGTTTTATTTGGTTATTATCAATTCCTTGGATTATATTACAGTAATGTGGAGTACCGACTTTGGAAGTAGGACTTTAGAGTCTTGCATTACACATCCTTACTGTAAATCTGTGACTAAACAGCCTGTCTTGATTTAGATTAGGTCAAGGAAATGCAGACTATTTACCCCTATGTGTATTTATGCTAATATCACAGATGGACAAGAATGATTAAAATCTCACTTTAGGAATTATATAATGGCTATATTTAAGATGTTTAAATGGAGGAAGCAGCTTGCTATTATACACATGGGATAAAATAAATAAAAACTACTTAAGTGTAAATTCTCTAGGATAGGGATTATCTCTTTGCATCTCCTGTACCTAAGACATAGTAAGTGCCCCATTGTGAACAAAGAAACTGGCTAACCCAATAATTAATATCATGTAGATGTTTTTAGGGTCACTGAGGGAATTAAAGAAGTTAATAAATTATTTCTTAAAAAAGTAATTTATTACTTTAGAAAAAGCAAAGACTTCTCTTTGAAAAAAAGCCAATTAATCACAAATACTTGCCTTCATTTGATAAAAATTATATCAAAGGAATTCTTGAGAATGATAAGAGAATGACAGGGAAGTCCTTAGCTAATAAGAAATTTCAGTGAATTTATGAGAGTGAGTGAGCAAGAGTAGGGGAGGCTGATGAAGCAAAGTATAGGGAACAAGCACTCACAGCCCTGCTGTCTAGTACAGAAGACACTGTCAAATGCAGCTGTTGAAGGTTAAATTAATTATAATTACGTTAGAAATTTAGTTCTTTGTCCCACTAGCCACATTTCAAGTGCAGCAGCCACATGTAATAAACAGCAGGTACAGAACATCTCTATCATTCATCATGTGAAATACACTGGTATAGCACTGGCTGAGAAGATGGTCTACCCAGTTACAAAAGAGCCTGTCCTCCCCCAAGTTGAGACTCAGAAGTTCAAGTGCGAGAAGGAAGATGAGCCTGAGAAGGCCTCTACAAACAGATTCATCACCAGTCACCCCAATCCTGCTGTCTTGCACAGCACACACATTGTCCAAATTAAAACTTCATTAGAAAGGGCAAAAGATAAAAGTGAGGTGAAGAACCAATTATAGAACCGCAACAAAAGTTATGTATTAAAACAGGAAAGAGAAGAGCAAGTAAGTGAGAAAAATGAAAACCAAGAGGAAACACTTATCAATAACACAAGAAATTTCCCAGAACTGAAGTTTGCAGTGAATTGAAAATGACCCACGTCATGATACATCATCATAAAGATTGAGAATCTTTCATGACTGATATGCAGAAGGTCTTAAACACTTCAGAGTTGCGCGCTCTCATGCACACACACACACACACACGCAAATACCTTCAAAGGAAAGCGAATCAAACTGACACTGAACTTCTCATCAGTAATTGCAGATATTTAAAGACAGGAGAACAGATATCAAAGACATCTTGAAAGTGAGGGTTACTTTGCTTATTTTTCAACCAGTATAATGGAATGTATCCTCATTGAGTACTCTTAGAGATCCTGTAAGTCTATCTTTTAAAATGAGCATTCTTTTTTAGTTTTTTTTCCTTTTAAAAAAAAATCACCATTTCATGTTAGTTATCATATGCAGTTTCCCTGGTGTACATGATTTATCTGTAACAATTTGTGCTTCTGGTCCTTAAATCACAATAGTGCAAATTGTCAGGTACAATTACATGTGTCTATTGTGATATCTAATATTAAACTGTTGGACAACTAAACTTTACTTTTAAGAATCCAAGCAGGGTTAAGAGAAGGTTCTTTGGAAGCATGTGCTCTTGTTTCCAGAGACTCTGCATGTTACTTGTCTCATGTGCCTCTCTTAGACTCATAAGTATGTCACATCAGATAGCACATTTGGTTTATAAAAAAGGGAGGTAGATGAATTGATTAAAATTAATTTGATATTTGTGTTGCTCTCCATATTCTAAGTGTTTGACTTTTTTATTTTATAAATGTAGCTAATGCTGCCTACCTTGGAGGCCAAGAAATGATGCAGGTGGTGAAGAGAGATGATGAAATCATAAAGGAACATTTATCTAAGGTAATTACTTTATGTCTGATCATGAAAGGTTAGAATTGGGAAGAATCTGCAAAACCTTGAGAGTTTGTAGATTCAGACAGAGTCCTACTTCTAGTTCAAGTTGATGTTATCCTTGAGAGTTGCACAGAGTAAGTAAAGCTGATTGCATAGTTATTTAAATATATTTTGCTACCTGCTTTTGTTGAATCTACTTTTATAATCAATATTTTTCTGTTTTAACAATGAACTGAGAAGTTTCAATAATATTTATGGAATAAGTGAGTTATGTTGAAGCATAATAAAACTGGAAAAAAAAACTAATGTGACATATCATCCAATGACTAGTAAGCCTGTCTTTCAGATTCTTCAGCACGTTGCAGTAGATGGTCTCATTCTGGCACAAAGAATAGTTTTCTAAAATATTCACCATTTGCAAATTATTCCTGAAAATACTAGACTCTTGCACACATTTTGAAACACTAGTCTCTAAAACTAGAAGATCACCCTGGTTTAGAATATGTCTCAATATCCTTGAATGTGTGTGGCTATAGCACTACTATGGCAACATTTGTCTGTCTGTCCATCCTGAATAGAATACAGCTGCACTTTATTTTTGTATTGTCCACAGTGCTGAGGATTAAACCCAGGGCTTCGTGCAGGCTTAGCAAGTAAGTAACACCTGTAGCCCTGTAGCCCAGAGGTATGCTGTTTATGATAGCTATATACCACATGTGGTTTTTTGTGACTAGTCAGAGTTGAGATGTGCTGTAAGAGTAACAAACACATTGAATTTC